TTCCCCGCCTCCCGCGCAAGCGCAAGGACCCGAGTTCAATCCCCGGTACCAAAAAAAAAAAAAAAAAACACTATAGGAGGTAGCAAATAACGTACCTAACTCTAATAAAGTTAGAAAAAATCTCTGTCCTGAAGACAATGCCAGAAGAACAAATACCAGGTAGTCCCAGGGAAACATCTTTGGGTCCACTGTCATTTGGAATGCTAGCTGGAATGAATCTCTGGTATATTATATACCATCTTTATTCCTATGGCTAAAACAAGGTTATGAAGAATTTCAGTAACAAAAAGTCATTCTTTTCAGCATCCACCCTCTTCACTATTTCAAAAATAGCATGACCACTGCCCTCCATACAGAAAACTCCCTTATCCTCTTTACCAGACTTATTGTCCCTGGGTACTAATTGTTTATGGTTTATCCTACTCTGAGAATGCAAGTTCTATTAAGATAGGCCTTTCTCCTCTGTTCACTGCCATATCCCCAGCAGCTAAATGGCAAAGTAGTACATGTCAAGTGCTCAATAATCCTTGGTTGAATTATGATTGAAGTCTTTTCCTCAAATACTTTTTCCCACCTGATTCAAACAAACTTAGGTTGCTTTTTTTTTAAATTAAGAGATGTTAAATAAATAAGTTCCACTGTAATTCCTGAGTTGTTAGAAGCCAATAAACTTTGGTACCACAGCAGTAACACTTTCAAGTGAATTAACTATTTCAAAAAGACAGACCATTAAGTTTCTTACTGTGAAGAAAAAGACTTTGTAACAAGCATTGGTATACAAACAGATAAAAGATGAATGTGACTTGGTCTTTAACGTTAAGGAGTTCACACCCTGGCGAATTCACTCAGTTGGGGCTCACATCCATTCCTCAAACTCACTCATGCCCACAAAATCTTCAGTCTTGGTTTAACTCTGAGACAGATGCTTCTGTTTTATATTTTGTGAAACCTTTTCTTATATATTAACTCCCTTAATCCTCATGAAAACTCTTGTTTTAATATTCATTCCCTCATTTAACAGACATGGAAAATGATGGTCTACAGAACAAATGTCTTGAAAGAATTCTATCGCAATCAGGTTAACTGCCTTGCAAGACTTCAATCTGTGAGCCTCTGTCTCCTAATGACATGCTTTTTTTCATTTATTCAACAAATATTTACTGAGCACCCAATATATAGTAGCGCTGGATATGCAATAGTAAACGAGGCTTAGACCAAGCGTACTCCTAGTCCTAACATAACACCAAGCAAAGTTGTAAGACCTCAAATTAAATTTCTTCACTTCTCTACACCTCGGGTTTGTTATCTGTAAAACTGGGGGTAATAGAATGCCCTACCTGTCAAGATGCATACTGCCTACTCATTAAAGAGTGAAAGAATGCTTCTTTCTGTTTAGAATAAAAATCAGCCAAGACAAATAAGTCACTCCCCAGATCGGCCCAACCTATGAGATCCCGAGACTCTACGGTCTTGGGGCTCTCTGCCCGCGCCGAGGAACCTCACTGGCCACCCTCACGAACCCCGTTCCCAAACCTCAGACTCCTGCCCCTCATCTCTCGCCCAAGGGATGCCTAGCAGCTACCACCGGGCGCAGCGCGCACACCGCCCCCGCCCCCCCCCGCCCCGGTCTTCCGCGGCCCCAAGGCCGGACAGGAGGAGCAAGTCAACGGGCCAGGCCAGGAGGCCCACCACTTCTGCCCACTAGGCAAGGAGGCCCAAGCCGGGTCCCCCTGGAGCTACTATTCTTCTCAGTGGTCACCTCACTGTAGAAGGTCATAAATGCTTCCTCGGTGCTGCCTCCGCCACCCGAGGCGCCGCTTTCTCCCGAAGCCGCCATTTTCCCGGCTCAGCCGCCACGTGATCCTATGCGCAGGCCCTCTCACATGGCCCCGCCCAGCCTGCCTTTCGTCCCGCCTCCCCACTAGGGACCCTTAAAGGGCTCGAGGACCCAAGAGGATGTTTTTTAAAATTGTGATGAAGTAGACAATGCATATAATTAGCTATTTTAAAGTGAACAACACAATGGACTTTAGAAATCCATTGTTGTGAAACCACTACCTCTATTTAGTTCCAAAACAAGTCTCATCGAAGGAGACCTGACACCCATCAAGCAGTTACCCCTGTTCCCAGTTACTGACAACCACCAATGTGTTCTGTCTCTATGGATTTATCTGGATATTTACATAGATGGAATTATACAATATGCGACCTTTTGTGTCTGGTTCCTTTCACTTAGCATCTTTTCTTTTTAAATTCAGTACTAAGGATTGAACCCAAGGCCTTCTCAATGAGCTACATCCATAATCCTTTTTCTTTTCTCTTTCCTTCCTTTTTTTTCTTTCTTTCTTCCTTCCTTCCTTTCTTCCTTTCTTTCTTTCATTTTTTTTTTTTTTTGAGATAGAGTCTCATTAAGTCACTAAATTGCTCAAGCTGGACCCAAACTTGATATTCTCCTGCCTCAGCTACCCAGAGTGCGGGATCGAAAGTGTGCTCCACCATGAAACCGTCTTGGATAATTCTGTTTAATTTTTTGAACCACCTCAAGCCCTTTTCCACCTCAACTAATTCATTTTACATTCTCATCAGCAATGTATCAAGGTTCTAATTTCTCCATATCATCACCAACATTTTTTATTTTCCTTGATTTATTTACTTATTTGTTATTATAGCATCCCAATGCCTACATGCATCTTTCGTGCAAGCTCAGCAAGATCTTTCTTTGGCTGCTCAGCCTAGGAGATGATGAAGAAACAGCAGTATCTGAGAACTACAAACAGTGTCGTTTGTTGTTTGTTTTGTGATGCTGGGGATCAAACTCAAGGCCTCACACAAGCACTCTATCTCTGAGCTAAACCCCCAGCCATAGAAACAGTTTCTGAAAGAGGAATGGCACTCAAAGATCATCTAGAAACACACCAAATTATAACTAGTCTTGTAAGAGATTATTATTTTTATTCTTTTTGTTTTGGTTTCATTGTTTATTTTTTGGTTTTTTGAGACAGGGTCTTGCTTTAGAGTTCAGACTGGCCTTGAACTCAGTGATTCTCCTGCCTCAGCCTCTAAACTGCTAGGATTACCACACCCATCTTATTATTTTCATTCTTCTACTTTTATATTTTCTGCAATGAACACTTAAAGATGTGGCTAGCAAATATTTCCTCCCATTTAAAAGTCATACAAACCAGGACTGCTATTTTCCCAACTAGAAGATAATCAATAAAAACCAATTTTATTTCATAGAAAACCAAGCTATATTTGACCAGGCGTGGTGGTGCACACCTGTAATACTAGCACCTGAGAGACTGCAGCAGAAAGATAAGTTCGATGCCAGCCTGAGCTCTATAGCACGGTGCTCTCTTTCTCTCACTCTCTTCTGAAAAAAATTATTTTGTAATAATGAATAAGACAATAATCTGGCCCAACCCTCTCATCTAAAGGAAAACAAACTGGGCCCAGACAGAAAATTACATAGGCAAGGTCTGTAAACTTCATGAAGGTAAAGACTACTGTTGTCTTATTCACATTTATTAGATGAATGAAAAGGCAAAGTCTTTCTTAGTTTCCATTCAATCACACTGTATTACCAAAAGTTCAGTTACCATGCCCATTTAACAACACATTAATATCATTTACAAATATTAATTCACTACCTACTTAAGACCCTGATGACTTGACAAGGTGAACCGTGTAAAGGAGGGAGGAAAGGGGAACACAAAACTGGATGTGCTAGAATCGCTGGTGAATGATTAAGCGGGTCAGGGAAGGTTTCTCTGAGAAGGTGAAATTGAAGCTGAGATTTGACATTGAAATGTCAGTGCAATAAAAGAACATTAGCGGCTCCTAAGAAATGAACGCGGTTTTATAAATCCGGGCATGTTGGAGGTCGAGGTCAACAAACATCTCCTCCCTTATAGTCACCACCTTCATGATGCCAATAAACCAGGAAAGGGAAGGCTTACTTCCCGTTTAATAACATCAACTATAGAACTAAATGCCTCTTTCCTATTGATGGGTCCAAGAGCCTAAATTCCGGTTTCTAACCCTCTCCTTACCCTCCGCCTTCAGAATTCCTTTATCCTTTAGCCCGGGAGCCGTTGTTCGCGGTTGGCTAAGAATAGTCCCGCCTCTCGCTCAGGATTCGCTGTAGACTCCAAAATACCCGCCTCCTCGCCCTCCTCATTCGCCACTCCTACGCACGTCCCGCCTCTTTTCCGAAAAGACTGGCTGCTTGGTCTGCCGCGCGGTTAGCGCCTATAGATAAGCTGCCACGCCAAGTGACGAGGGAGTTCTGCCTTAGGAGCAATGGCAGGTACGGCGTTGGCGTCTCGGGCGCGGCTCGGCGTTTGGGGAGTGAGGGCCATGCAAACCCGAGGCTTCAGCTCGGACAAGGTACGCCACGGCACCAACTGCTGCCCCACCCCTGAGTGCGAATCCCATCTTTTCCTCTGGGCCTTTACCAATGCGCGGGTCTCTGCGCTGTCGCAGGATCATGAGAGTTCCTCCGGCTCGATTCGGGACGCCGGTGGGGCCTTTGGGAAGAGAGAGCAGGCTGAAGAGGAGCGGTTCTTCCGGTAAGGCCCACCGAGTGCGAAGTCCAACCCTAGAGCTTCCAAAGCCTTCCAGTTCTTCAGCTTTCAGTCGCCCCACCCATCCCTGGTGCCTTGAGGTGCCCCATCCCCAGCGGAACCGGGCCCATTCAGTCCCAACACTTGAGCTCCTGGCTAGTGCCATCTATAGGGCACTCCCAGTCCCTTGCCCAACAGCACCCGGGTCGCAAGCCTTTTCCGCTGTCTCCAGAACGCTCCGTCCACGATTCAACTCCTCTTTTATCATTTACCATCTCCTGGCCCCCGATCCTGGGCAGAGCGAAATATTCTCCTTGTCTGTATCTGGCCGTCCAATATTTGCAGACCCTCTGAGCCTTATCACCACCCTCCTCCGGAATGAGTGGGTAATCGGAGGTGGCAGCACCTGCCCAGGGTTGGACTCCACCTCCTGGAGACTTTTGCCCTAACCTAGCCCAGCCCCTGGGCTAGAGATTGCTTAGGAGTAGGCCTTTCTCCTAGCTTTCCTAACCCTGAATTATCGTTAACTGACTTCTCTCCATACTGGGAAGCATCAAGAAACTAATCTTGCTTCTGCTTCTCCTTTGGTCTTTGTTCTAAGATTAATCACGGGGCTGGGGGTGTAGCTCATTGGTAGAGTAGGTGCATAACACACAAGAATGCCTGGGTTCAATCCTGGCACCCCCCCCAAATAAATGTGTCACAATGGTACCTACTTGCCATAACTGGAGTATGGCCCTTGGAGACCATCTATTCGGGCCTTGACAGTTAAGGAAACTGAACCCTAAATGCTGCCAAGCTGGTGTTTTTTTATCTAGACCTTTATTGAGACTTAAATTGGACTGCTGAGCACTGCATATGCAAGAGTCCCCTTCTTCAGGGCCTTTACAGTGGACCGTGCATTTTTGTAGGCAAAGAAAGCCCTAGGCAAATTGGGATGGGGTATTTTTACCTTGACCACATGTCTTTGTCTGTTCCCTTTTTTTGCTTCTTTTTTCCCCAAAAAGGGATCTGATTCTCTGGGCTGCTCATCTGATAAAGTGTCTGGGATTAATGTCAGGTCTTTCTGGAGTTTTCTACTATATAGCTTATAATATACAAGGTATTTTAAGTAGGAAACTAGAAATGCATGACATTAGTTACACAGAGTACTAGTATGTTCTGTTTCCTGCACTAGCACCAGAAAAATGGGATCATTTTGATGATCTTCAGATGGAGACGCCTTAATTTCCAATCAGGTATTCTTTCACTAGTAGGGTCAAGGTAGAAGAGCATAGCCACTCATGGGATGGGGGTACCACCTTAGGGAGTGCAGGTTATGCCTAAAAATCTCTTCGGGGTGAAGGATGGGAATTAAGCCTTGAGCCACTGTGTCCTTGTAGACAGAAGACTAAAGAACAACTGGAAGCCTTGAAGAAACATCATGAAGATGAGATCTATCATCATAAAAAGGCGATTGAGCATATGGAGAAAGAAATTGAACGGCATAAGCAGAAGATCAAACAACTAAAACATGATGATTAAATGCATATATTCCCCATAGAATGGCATCTATCATTGCCCACTTCTATATAGGCATAATCTGGTATAATTAATATTTGGTCTGTGTGCTACCAAAAGATAATAAATTGTCATCGGTGAACTGTGTCTGCTGCCTTTTTCTACTATCTAGAAGGTGGTAGACAGACAGACACTACTTGTCTGCTAAAGTGAATTAAACAGATGCCTGCAACAGGGAGTTTACAAACAAAGCAGCATGATAAGTGCTGTGAAACAAGACAGGAGTAAGAGGGGAGGGGTGTGCCACAGATAAGGGGACTCCCCCCAGTCTAGCAGCAAGTGCTCAGAAAGCTTTGGAGGTCAGGAGCAGCCTAAGGAACAAAAAGGGGTGATTATTTCAAAAGATGTAATTCAGAGCTGGGGATTTAGCTCAGTGGTGCCGCTCCCTGTCCCGCAAGTGCAAGGTCCTGAGTTCAATCCCCTGTACAAAAAAAAAAAAGATGTAATTCAGGGCCAGGGATTTGGCTCAGTGGCTCTGCCACCTGCCTCCAAAGCGAAAGGTCCCGAGTTCGATCCCTGGTACCAAAAAAAAAAAAAGGTGTAATTCAAGACACCATCAGTAATAACAATGGTTAACCATAAATAAAATG